TCTGGAGTGTTTGAACAGACTCTGTCAGCCTCCTCCTAAAGGCCTCCCTCTGCTCTCCTAGACCCCCCAAAATTTGCTCTCTGTGACCCCTGAGTTGTCCCTCAGAGACTATTTTCTCTGGCCCTGGGACCAGCTTTGGCAAGCTAGAGTGACTGTCCTGGAAGTTGCCCTCAACCAAAGACAGATGGAACACTGGCAGATAAATAGCCCGACCCCTGACCTGGCCGGTGAGATAATTGTGAGGTGAAGTTCATGCCCTTTTCTGGACTCTCCCAGTAGGACTGCGCTCCTGTCCTTCAGTGGGAACTAGTGATGATGCTTAACTGACTCCCTTTCCTTCTCTGCCTACCCAGACAGTCCTTGCCTTTCTACTTCCTGTTGGAGTTTCCTGGGATCCCAGAAAATGACATATACTTATATTCTTCTCTTAGAGTATGACTCTGGAGGAACACAAATTAAGACGGCTATAAATATGTATACATAAACATATATGTAATATACATATATAATGTAATAAATATGCATGTAATGTAATAGATTCATATATAGTATATATTGCCTATTGTGCACATTCAAGCTGCATGCTCAGTTATGTCCATCTCTTTGCGACCCCTTGGACTATAGCCCGCCAGGCTCCTCTGTCCATGAGATTTTCCAGGCAAGACTACTGGAGTGAGTTTGCATTTCTTCCTCCAGGGTAGTCTTCCTGATTCAGGGATCAACCCATATCTCCTGCATCTCCTGCATTGGCAGGCAGACTGTTTCACCACTGAGCCACCTTGGAAGTCCACTACATATATGTGTATTATATATTACCTTGCACATGCATATCATATGCAAACATATTACATATTAAATTTATCACTTACATGTGATATGATGTATGCACACATAAATGTACATGTATATATCACATTATGCATACTAAATGTTTGTGTCCCCCTCATATTTATATGTTGAAAACTAACCCCGAGTGTGATGGTATTAGGAGGTGGGGGTCTTTGGGAGGTGATTAGGTCATAAGAGTGGAGCCCATATGAATGGAATTAATGCCCTTTTAAAGAGACCCTAGCGAGTGCTCGCAGCCTCTTTCCACAATGTAAAGGTATAAGAAGTCAGAGAGTGAGAAGAGGGCCCACATCAGAACCTGACCATGCTGGCACCCTGATCTAGGACTTCCAGCCCCCAGAACTGTGAGAAATAAATGTCTGCTGTACGCAAGCCACCCAACCTATGGCTATGTTTGTTACAGCAGTCTGAATACAGCAAGATAATATGTGTGTATATATGCATACACACATATGTACATAAACAGACATACCTATGGATGTGTGTGTGTGTGAGTGCTCAGTCGCACCCCACTCTTTGTGACCCTTTAGACCCACATAGGGAGAAGGAAATGGCAACCCACTCCAATATTTTTGCCTGGAGAATCCCAGGGACGGAGGAGCCTGGTGGGCTGCCGTCTATGGGGTCGCACAGAGTCGGACACGACTGAAGCGACTTAGCAGCAGCAGCAGCAGCAGACCCACATAGCCTGTCAGGCTCCTCTGTGCATGGGATTCTCCAGGCAAGAGTACTGCAGTGGGTTGTCATGCCCTCCCCCAGGGGATCTTTCCGACCCAGGGATTGAACCCAGGTCTCCTGCATCTTCTGCATCGCAAAGGGACCCTCACCTCTGAGCCACCAGGAGAGTTCTCATACACACATACATACATATAAATAAATATAGATATTTTTACATGGATAATGCTATTCTTCATCTTGCGTTTCCACTTAATTATGCATCATCTTCCTTGCTAGCATAGAGAGCTATCTCACACTTTTATTGGAAGCATTTGTATTTCATTGTATCATAATGTATGGACATCTGGATAGTTTTTAATCTTCTGTTTTTATAAATGGTGCTGAAGTGGCTATCATATATTTGATATAATCTCTTCCAGTGGAACTGCTGGGCCATGTGGCACATGCATTTAAAATTTTGATAGACATTGGCAACTTTTTCTCCATAAAGCCTATACCAATTTTTATCTTCTCATTAACAAAGTGTAAGAGTAGGGACTCAGTGCTGAAAAGATGGAGCCAAATGTTAGTACAGCTCTTGTCCATGATTTAGTCACTGCCCAAAGCATTTTTCTCTATTCTGTACATTAGAGGAGGACATGAGCTTGGAACACCCAGGTTGTGGAATCACAGGTGAATGAATGCAGCCTGGCAGCACACATGTAGTGCACCTGAAAGTGTGATGCTCACATGCATACATAAAAATGCACAGACACACAGACACCCCCCCACCCCCAATTTCTATGCTCAGTGAGGTTTCTAAGTCAGACTCAATAATAAGATAGTGAGAGAACATATGCATTTCCTGTGACAGCACCCCCTTAAAATATAATAAATTCAAATGCGTTTGGAGCACTATGTGCCTGGCAGAGTCATATGTCTTCCTTGTGTCCAATTGCCACTTTACAAGTTTTGTTGATGATCATGCTATTATCCCTGTTTTTTGTTTTTTCTAAAAGGAGACTGAGTCACAGAGATAGCGAATGACCCCGTATCAGTAGAGGGAAGCAGTTCAAATCATGGTCTCTGTACCCAACCTGCCCCGGTTGAAATCCTGTCTTGCCCTCCTTTTAGCCGGGGAGCTGCAGACAAGTTGCCCTTCCTTTCTGTTATCTCAGTTTCTTCTTCTGTGAAATGGAGATATTGTTGTGAAGATTAGATGAATTAAAAGACAGAAAAAGGTCAGTAAAGTTTGAAGAACATCTGTCTGACTCTTCAAGCTGGAATTTTCGTCACTGCATTTTCCTGTATCCTACTAGTCCAGTTCATTTTTAAAAATGAGAATAACATGTATACATCTAAGACTCTAAGAAAATAAGTGAAAGAGATAAAGCAAAAGTTGTATTTCAGAAATTCTCAAAGTGCACTTGAAAATGTGGCTGGAGCCACCCTCATACCTGCACAGCATGGATGGCTGGGCTAGATGGTGAGAGCAGATGACACCTCTGTGAGTGGCCATAATGGAGGCAAAAATCAGCACCGACTGCTCTGCTTATCTGCAGAAATCCAGGCTCTCTGCCTTCTAGAATAATTTGATCCACACCATCTGGCAGCTTGTAAGAAGAAGAAAAAGCAGAAGAGAAAGAAGAAACAGGAGCCATGTAGCATGAATGTAATTCCCAATTTGAGTTATGCACTCTCATGTAATATGAGCCAAATTTAAACATGTCAACATCTCAACAATTGCTGATTTTTCAAGTGCTATACTATGCATCTGGCGGGTGCTCATTGAATGCTCTTCAATGATGGTGACGCAAATGTATTTACTAAAATATAGTGTATTGAAAAAATAAATAGTATATTGTGATGTCCTTTAGTTTGCATTTGCATAAATTGGCACTCTCTGAAATAAGTGGTTGAGATTTAAAAAAACATGGTATGTTTTTAAATGTTCAAAGAATCATAATTATAGAGCTTACAAATCCTTTAGTTCGTTTCCCTCATTTTGAGTGTAGGAAAACTTAGTCCAAGATTAATTTTTGCTAATGAGAGAGAGAGAGAATAGGGTGTGAGCCAAGCACCCTAGACACTTAGCAAGGAGGGAAATGGGGGAGAGAGATGAAGGTCAGTGGAAGCTGGACCATTCTGGCTCCTGGAGCATCCTTCCTCCCTCCTCTCTGCTACAGTGACTTCCTAGAGAGGAAGCAGCAGTGTACCTCCTAACCAGGTGTAGCTTCTCTGCTTCTGCCCTTCAAGTTTGCTCTGAGATGGACGTGTTGTGCTTGTGGTTTATTAGGAAAGATTCTCATAAAGGGAAAGTAGAACCTGTAGAAGGGAAAGATGGAGGGAGAAGATGAGCCATGATACCTCCAGGAAGACTCCAGACAACTCTGGAATGTTCCGGAGCCAGGGTGTCCCTTCAGATTGTCCCAAGCTGAGATAAGGGGACAGAGACTTTATAGTCCACATTGGGTCATTAGATGTGAGTCACTGCAGGTGAGGTGGTTCCCTTCTGTTCAGGTGGTTCCTAAAGCGAGCTGATAGCTCAGGGCTAGGTGCAATAGCATTCTCAGAGTTCAAGGAGAGTCCTCCATGCCTAAAGGAGTCGTTGGCAGCACATCACAGTACCCATCACATCAGTGTCTGGCACGGAGTGAGCCATCAGGAAATGTCTTGTTGGATGGATGAACCCACCTAGAGGCTCAGAACAGAACTGCAAGGGATGGAATGGTCTGTCACCTTTACAGTGTGCTTTAGAGGTACAAGAGGAGAAGAGTTCAATTCAGTTCAGTTCAGTTGCTCAGTCATGTCTGACTCTTTGCGACCCCATGGACTGCGGCACACTAGGCTTCCCCATCCATCACCAACTCCCGGAGCCTACTCAAATTCATGTCCATCGCGTCGGTGATGCCATCCAACCATCTCATCCTCCGTCGTCCCCTTCTCCAGTCTTCAATCTTTCCCAGCACCAGGATCTTTTCCAATGAGTCAGTTCTTTGCATCAGGTGGTGAAAGTATTGGAGTTTTAGCTTCAGCATGTGTCCTTGCAATGAACATTTAGGACTGATTTCAGTAAGTACTGACTGGTTGGATCTCCTTGTAGTCCAAGGGACTCTCAAGAGTCTTCTCCAACACCACAGTTCAAAAGCATCAATTCTTTGGTGCTCAGGGTCTTTTCCAATGAGTCAGCTCTTCACATCAGGTGGCCAAAGTATTGGAGTTTCAGCTTCAGCATCAGTCCTTCCAGTGAATATTCAGTACTGATCTCCTTTAGGATGGACTGGTTGGATCTCCTTGCAATCCAATGGACTCTCAAGAGTCTTCTCCAACACCACAGTTCAAAAGCATCAATGTAAGTGATAACATACAGTATTTGTCTTCTTCTGACTCTTTGTGACCCCACGGACTGTGGTCCACCAGGCTCCTCTGTTCCAGAATTTTCCAGGCAAGAATATTGAAGTAGGTTGCCATTTTCTACTCAAGGAGATCTTCCCAACCCAGGGATTGAGCCTGGATTTCCTGCACTGGCAGGTATATTCTTTACCACTGCATCACTCGGGAAGACCCCCTACTCTGCCCTAGCTCTCAGCAAATATTCTCTGGGAGAAAATGGCTATTTGACAGTCCTGTATATTCTAATTTGTCCATGCTAATCAGCATGAATATAAAAACTTTTGTTTCTCACCTTTACTATGAAAGCTTATGAACAGACTCAGCAGATGCTCCCAGGCAAGAAAATGACCAGCAGTTTTAGCCTTTTCTCTCTCTAAAATTTATTTTTGTGAATTTTATATTCTTCTTGACTTCTATAAACTTTTTTTTCTAGTTGTGATTGCCTTCTACTACTACCACATCATACTCAGAAGCAGACATGTTCATGTCTTTAATGACTTCTTCCATCTTCATGTGGCTCTAAAAAATGAAGAACAATAAAAACATTAGTCCAAATAAAAAAAATTTTTCCTGGTAGAGTGTAATTTTTATTTGAAATGCAGCTGAAAGGAGAATAGGATTTACTTAAAGTAAATCCACTTTATAGCAAATTTAGATGAGGCATATCAATTCCAAAAATAACATGGAACAGATTTCTAGTATTTACTCATACCCATTTTTCCTCTTTCCTGGAGCAGAGAGGACAGCCGTTATTTCCAAGCCTTCAGGCAGGGCCATGTGCCCAGTTATGTCCAATGGACTATGAGCATAAATGATGTATGTCCCTTTCAAGAAGAGGTGCTTAAAGATGAGTAAGAATTCTCTACATTCTCCCTTTCATGGAGACCAGGAAGGTCACATGTTTAAGATATGGAGCCACTCAGTCTGGTTCCCTTAGATGTTGCTGGGAAAAGAAGCCACTTTGGAGAGTTGCTGGGCTCATGGTAGACTTTGCATCAGTAAGAAAGAACTTAGTGTTGAGTCGCTGAGCTTTCAGAACACATCTACATCTGTGCTGTGCTTGTCACTCAGTCGTGTCCAATTCTTTGTGACCCCAGGCTCCTTTGTCCACAGGGGTTTTCCAGGCAAAGTATACTGGAGTGGGTTGCCATTTCCTTCTCCAGGGGATCTTCCTGACCCAGGGATCAAACCTGGGTCTCCCGCATCGCAGGCAGATGCTTTAACCTCTGAGCCACCAGGGAAGCCCAGGTATTATAGACAATGATTATAGTAAAATTATTTCTAAAGGAAGGTTAGTGAAGAATATCCTTTAGTTACATGGTGTGAAGTTTCCTTTGGAGCCTTTTTTTTCTCTCTTGCTTTTTCATTTTACCCTTGAGGCATAAACATGAAAGGGAAGGTTATATCTATTCTGAGCTAAACTACATCATACCTTAAACTTGAAGTAATTCTAGTGATGCTATTGTGCATATTAACATCAGGGACTTTCCAGTCTCAGAAAATTAAAGCTGTATGTTTAAAGGGAACAGCAAAATTTAACCTTTAGTTCTTTATTTTTTTCATTGTCATACCATAGCCTCCAGCCAAGAGCACTGAATTTAAATCTTCCCTTCTCAAAATGATCTCCTTTTCCCTTTCTTCAGCCTCTCCTGCCTATGTTTAAACCTATTTGAACCTATGAGAAAATCTATTATAAAGAGCTATACTATTTTTGTCTAATAGTAGTTCAGTGCAACAGCTTCTTGGGTCATCTGTGTAATAAAAAAAAAATCTAATTTTTTTATTAGAAAAACACATACTGTAACCTCACGGGATGAACTTCGCTGTTATTTATCAGTTGATTGTGGGGAGGGGGGTTTATCAGATGGAAAGTTTAAAGATCTTCCCATTTGCCATCAGAACGCCTTCTTGGTTGGCTACTTATCTACTGTATCCTTGAATGCCATCCTTGAGTAAAGTTAAGGATGAGGCAAGACTGTTGGTAACTGTTTGTGATGGTTAATTTTATGTGTTAACTTTACTAGGCCAAGAGGTACTCAGATATTTGGTCAAACATTGCTCTGAGTGTTTCCGTGAAGGAGTTTTTGTGAAGGTTTCCATGAGGGTTTTCCCTAATGTGGGTGGGCCTCAACCAATCAGCCAGAGACCTGAATAGAACAGAAAGGCTGACTCTCCCCCAAGTAAATGAGAATTCCCCTTGCTTGACTGCCTGCACAGAGGGACACTGGCTTTTTTTCCTGCCTTAAGACTCCAACTGAAACATCAGCTTTCTCTGAGGTCTTAAGTCTCCTGGCCTTTGGATTAAAACTACACCACTGGCTTTTAAATCTTGGGAGTCGTCAGCCATATATACTGTGTATATGGTGTGTGTGTGCTCAGTTGCATCCCACTCTTTGCAACCCCTTGGACTATAGCCCACCGGGATCCTCTGTCCATGGAATTCTCCACAGCAAGAATACTGGAGTGGGTCCCCATTTCCTACTCCAGGAGATCTTCCCAACCCAGGGATCAAACCCATGTTACCTGCGTCTCCTGCATTGCAGGCAGACTCCTTACCCATTGAGCCACCTGGGAAGCTACTATGTATATATGACTATGGATAAGAATTATATATGTTTGTAATGTGTGTATTTGGAGAAGGAAATGGCGATCCACTCCAGTACTATTGCCTGGAAAATCCCATGGACAGAGGAGCCTGGTAGGTTACAGTCCATGAGGTCGCAAAGAGTCTGACACGACTGAGCAACTTCACTTCACTCACTAATATGTGTATACATGTTAGTTCTATGCATGTGTATACACGTTTCTCTGAAGAACCCAGACTGGTACACATTCTATGGCTTTAAAGCCACATCCTGTTTGTGACCACTACACTTTTTCAGAATCTAGAGAGGTGATACTCATCCCACCTCCAACAATTGACTGAAAGAAATTTACAAGCGAAGCAATGACCAAAAAGCCAAGATAAGCTAAAGAATCAAATAACTGAAGGCTTAGTATGGCTGGTCTGTCTACTGATCCTAGGTAAACACACGCTGAAGCAACAGCAGAAAATGAAAAGTAAGACCAGGAAGAAGGAAAAAGAAAAAAAATGGAGATAAATGAGCTATCCAGGAAAGGCCACAGACAGAAGGAGCAACAGGCAGATAAATAGCAGTCTCCTGGTGGCAGCAGGTCTCCTGAGAGGGGAAAGAATTTCAGGAAAGTTTGGAAGATGGCAAGGGGGGACAACTTGCAATGAGAAAAGATTAGCTATATGGGTTATTCAAGTCCAGCTAACCCCTATATTCACCATGGGCATTAATGAACATATGGATTGAACTCATAAGGAAGGTCTGGAGTCATTAAAGAGAGATAATCTTCATGAGTAGATTTGTATTTTAGCATCAATCACATGGTATTGTAGTTAATACTATTCTGTCCTGCCTTACTGTGTAACAAGTCACCCCTAACATAGTGATTTAAAACAACGAGATATTGTTCTCACAGATCTGTGGGTTGTCAATCTAGTGATTCTTCTGCCAGACTCCTCTGGGATCACTCATGTGGCTGTAGTCATCTGACAATCCTGCTGTGGCCCCAGAGAGCCTCAGTCACATGCCTGGGACGCTAGCGCTGGTAGGGCATCACTTTCTCCCAGTAAGTTAGACTAGCTTCTTCACAACACAATGCTCTTTATTGTTTTTTGCATATGTATTTAAAAAAAATTTTAATTGGAGTATAATTGCTTTACCATGTTGTGTAAATTTCTGCTATACAACGTGAATCAGCCATATGTATACACATAACCCCTCCCTCTCCAGCCTCCCTCCCAAGCCCCGTCCCACCCCTCCAGGTCATCACGGAGCTGGGCTCCCTGGCTATACCTCAGGTCCCCACTAGCTAGCTATTTTACACATGTTAGTGTATGTATCAACAGTACTCTCCCAATTCCTCCCATCCTCTCTTTCCCCTGCTGTGTCCAGAAGTCCATTCTCTATGTCTTGGCCGCTACTCCCACAGTGGTCTTTAGATTTCAAATGGACAAACCCCGATATGCAGGCACTCATCCAACTCTCTGCTTGGCTCATGTTTGCTGATGCCCCATTAGCCAAAGCAAGTCATGTGACCTGATCTAGAGTTGATGGGGTAGGATCCACAAAGGGCATAAAATAGGACAAGGTTTGCTAGATCAAAAGAATCTACCACGTCCGCCGTGATTTTCAGAGTTTGAATTACATTCCCATCCCTGAGTACATTCCCATTCCTCAGTACTTGCCTGACATCCTTAGTTCATAACTAACATCTTGGCAGTACTCCTTTTAGACAACATTTTGGGTGTTCTAGTGAAATATAACCTGGGCACACACGGTGGAAATATAGTATTGTATTATGAATTTTGTGCCTATTTCACCTTCATATTGTAATTTGAGCATTATATTGACTTTAAAAATACATTAAAACATAGTAAAGTGAAGTTGAAGTTGCTCAGTCGTGTCCGACTCTTTGCGACTCCATAGACTGTAGCCCACCAGGCTTCTCTGTCCATGGGATTTTCCAGGCAAGAATACTGAGGTGGGTTGGCATTTCCTTCTCCAGGGATCTTCCCAACCCAGGGATGGAACCCAGGTATGCTGCATTGTAGGCAGAGGCTTTAACCCTTTGAGCCACCAAGGAAGAATATACTATCTAAGAATTTTCTCACAGGATAAAGTTACACTGTTATTGTTGCTTTTTAGTCACTAAATCGCATCTGACTCTTGTGACCCCATGGACTGTGGCCCACCAGGCTCCTCTGTCCATGGAATTTCGCAGGCAAGAATACTGGAGTGGGTTGCCATTTTTTTCTCCAGGGCATCAAACCAGCATCCCTCGTGCATTGGCAGTCCAATTCTTTACCACTAAGCCACACCTGGGAAGCCCAAAAGTTATATTACAAAACAGTTTTTCCAACAAAGCAGTGTCTGGGGTCTGATATTTGTGAAATGAATGAGTTAAGTTTGAGTGTTTATGGACTAGGCTTCAATTACTTACAAATTCTTCTAGCCCAGAGTTCAATTCAGTTCAGTCACTCAGTCCTGTCCAACTCTTTGAGACCCCATGGACTGCAGCACGCCAGGCTTCCCTGTCCATCACCAACTCCCGAAGCTTACTCAAACTCATGTCCACTGAGTCAGTGATGCCATCCAACCATCTCATCCTCTGTCGGCCCCTTCTTCGCCCGCCCTCAATCTTTCCCAGCATCAGGGTCTTTTCCAAAGAGTCAGTTCTTCGCATGAGGTGGCCAAAGCATTGGAGTTTCAGCTTCAGCATCAGTCCTTCCAATGAATATTCAGGACTGATTTCCTTTAGCATCCAGAGGTTAGATCTCCTTGCAGTCCAAGGGACTCTCAAAGAGTGTTCTCCAGCACCACAGTTCAAAAGCATCAATTCTTCGGCGCTCAGAGTAAGTGTCGCTAAATTATTAGTTTAAAACTCTTCTCTTTAATTTTGATCTCTGTGTTCTGAGAACGCCGCACAGGAAGCACGGGGTCGGGTGTGGGGAGTGAGGGGTCACTCATACATAAGAAAGCAGAGGGAAATCATAAAATTTTCACACCTTACTCTACCAGACTCATCACCTCTCCAGACCTCCACACTGCCTCAACCGCCCTCCTTGGCAGTGCCAATTTGCTTAGATCACCGTTCGGCTTGCGCACTTATTACAAAATGTACAACATACAGAACAGATGGTGCAGCTCCCGAGCCCAGCAGCTGGAGGGGACGCTCTGCACACAGTAGGAGCATCATAAACATTGATTGACTGAGTTCATTGCCTCCGTTGACTCGAAGCCATCTTGCCCCCGGGCAATATCCTTACTTCTCTCCAAGCCCACACCCTGGCCCGAGAGGCGGGGAGCTCGGAGCAGATGGCGAGTCCCGGGTGCCAGGTGTGCAACACGCTCGGCGCGGTCTGGGGTACCGGGTTCTTTGGTCCCTGCTGCTCCCCTCCCCTCCCACTCCCACGAGTCGCCGTCGGCGCCACACGTGATGTCGGGCCGAGGGGGACCTGGCGAGGGGAGGGGAGGGCTGGGAACACGGAGCTCCGGTGCCTGGCGGAGCCCGCGCGTGTTGCGCCCGCCCCCCTTCCCCTCTGACCCGCGTCACCTGGCAGCCCGCGCGGCCTCCACATCTTCCCTCTACAAGAGAGAGCCCCTCTCCCCCCCCCCCCCCCCTCCCCCTCTCTCTCTCATATCGACACTTCCCCTCGCTTCCCTCTGCCCACTCCCCGGCGGGTTTCCCTCGCCGGCAGGCGCGCCAGCCCCAGCCTGCCTGCCCCCGCGCCACCTCCGATTGTAGGTCAGCTCGCTGGCTAACGGTGGCTTAGGTGTGCTCTCGTTTAAGCGTTTTTCCGTAAGTGGGATCAGACGCTTTTCCCACGGGGCTCCAACTGGAATCGCTGCTTCTTGGCTGTGGAGTTGGGGGGCGGGGGGAATCCCGCGGGATATGCAGCCATCCACACCGCGCGCGGGGGGAGGGAGGGGGGTGGGGGTGGGGGTGGAAAGGATGGAGGAGCCGAGCGCGGGAGGAAACCTCCTCCCCCCCAACCCGGGCCAGCGCGGCCAATCGCAATTTCGAAGAAGGCTAGGGCGCGGGGGCGCGTGTGTGCCTGTGTCTTCGGCTTCTTCCCCGGGTCGTAAACCTAAACGGAAGACGGGTGTTAAAGTGCTGCTGACAGCATCGCCCGAAACCTTTTTACAGTAAGAAAGACTTTCCCCCAAAAAAACACAGCCGGAGACGATTCCAATGTATTTCCTCCCCGTACCAGTGACTGAAAGGCGAGGCTCAGCCGCCGTGGCGGAACACGGCTGAGCACCACTGATTCCCGCCGACCCCTCCGCGCGCTCAGGGCAGGGAGCGCGCGGTGTCCGCGCCACCGAGTCGCGGCACCAGCAAAGGGAAACCATCTTTTGAGGAGGAGGGGTGCCTCTGCTAGTCCTCGAGTCGGGCGCGCCTCCTCTGCAGCGGCTCTCCGAGAGAGCCTTCTAACTCTTTCCGGCTTCAGCAAGATACAGACCCGGCCATTGATGAGCTCCCGGTTCAGTGACTAGATCCAAACGGGAGTCCTGGCGTTCCCAAGTCTCTGGGAGCTTCTGACAAGTGAACAGGAGGCGGCGGTTCGTTGCCCTAAACTCTGATTTATGATTTAAAATAAAAATCATCAGAATTCATCGACACACGCTATTAACCGCTGATCTTTTAAACTGCTACCGAAAGAAGGTAGTGGAGGATGCTACCGGTTCAGGAAAGGAGGAAGGGGGGAAAAGAAGTCCGACCATCCCCACATTTTCCCACGTCTTCTCGTGGGCGCAGGGAGGCTCAGCGCTGCCACCTGGCGGCCGCCTCTCCCGGAACTGGGAACTGGCTGATGGACGCGTAAACCCGGGTTCGCGGTGGGTGTGACTTACTTCGGCTTAGCGAAATGGGGCAGAAGCTCCTGTTCCTGCTTCAATCTACGTGGCCTGGTGCAAACACTCATTTCCTGCTTGTTCTCATGAGAAAACTGAAAGGAGAGGAAAAATGAGTTGGGGCTGGTATGAAATGCATACAGAATTCTACCAGGTGCCAGCCCACTGGTTAGGAGGGGAGAGAAAATGGCAAAAATCTAATTAGAAATGCAGGATTCTTATCTCTTAATTTTTCCTAAGAGTAAACATAATAATAATAATAAACATGGACTTCATTTTACCTTAGATCCTGTTTTAGTATTTTGCAAATAAGGATTACTTCCATACACTGTTTTTCCATACAACCCCCACCCCTTCGGGGAAGTCCAGTTCCAATGCAATTTCATCAGCCCCCCAAAAATGAAGTGCAAGTTATATTTGTCTACTTGACTGAGAAGTAAATCAGCTTCTGATGGAAGGTTATTTTCCATAAAGTGTGGAACCAAAAAGCCTGGGGCCTTTCAGTTGGCAAAGGCCAATGACATCAAATTTCTCAGGCTTCTTCCCTGTCTGCTAAAGTAACAAAGGCAGGATTTTTCCCCCTCTTTATTTTCTTTGAACTGAATAGTTGCCAGGTCAGACCAGCTCTTACAATCAGAGTTTCTATAATAACCAAGACAAGGAAAAATCTTGCAAATCAGTGTGAATCCAAGAGATTTGTTAAATTAATTTCCCCTCAGGTTTTTTTTTTCCCCTCCCCTCTGTGCTTTAGGAATATATTAAGCAGTGGGACAGAATGCTATTTCCATCTATACCCCATATCATTTTATGGATGTGGGATTTTTATGTTGTGCAGGTGTGTGAGAGCAGAAGAAATGAATTAGCAGATATTACATCTCAAGTCGAGTTCCATTATTTAATGGAAAATAAATAAGATGAAATACTTACCTTAATTCAAAATTTGGAATGTCTATCAGCTTTGCTAATAAAGAAAATTCATCTATTATTTTGAAACAGGATTTTTTTTTTTTTTGCAAAATTATCTTGGCTTACTGTTAATATGGCTTAGAAAGCAGCATTAAGAATTACTTCATGTACTACAAAGCCAGCAGAGGGAACACTGAGTACTGATTTAGTAGGGGCCACCAAATATCTGGTATTTGGGAAAAAAATGTTAGTAATGGAAAAACTGGTTACAAAGCATGTGAAGTTAGGTAATGAGAACAGAGAAATCTTTTCTCATTATTTGCTATTGAGACCTCATACATTCCAGTGTGCACATACCCAGTTGGTGAGAAAGCTGTCTTTAATAAAAGGCCACTTGTCACATGTTTTCTTACATTTTAAGAGGGCTACTAACACGTAAGAACTAACCTATTTCAGAAGTCTAAGCATTCATATATACTGTAATAATCTTTTATGTCAATGGAAATTACTAATACCAAATTTCTTCAATTCTAAGAGGAATTTTTTCTTTTCAGATGTCTTTACAACCATGGGGATGTCAGTTTCACTGGCAGTTGTTCTCCCTTAATAGCATGTGACCATGGTATGTCTGAAAGACATCAGTTAAATTTGTTGAAATATAGAAAATATACCTAACAATAGAAATAGGCCAGTGGCTATTTTTTAGTACACACATAAAAAAAAATTCTGCATGCTTTAAACATAAACAAAATCATTCTGAATGCTTTAACTTTCACTTTTCTCTGATCTCATTCACTGGTAGAATCACAAATGGCTTTGGAAATATAATCAATGATACTGATTATATTATTCACTCACTTTGACTGAAACATCACAAACTTAGTCACACCCTCAGATTATTAGTTGCTACAAATCTCAAAATAAACATAGTATTTATTCTTTTTTTATTCTGGTAAAAATATGGATTTTTAAAATAAATAATAGACCTCTTAAGAGAATTTTTATGTCAGATTAAGAACATGCAGGGCTATGTTATAGTATGAATAACAAATAAAATGATGACACACCTAGCTTTGTTAGATGCAAAAGAGGTGCCTGTGGGTTTTTTGTTTTCAAGATTTGTTTCCCCTTCTAAAAGAAAAATATATAACTTGAGTAGCTACTGGTCAAAAATTATTTGCTTCTACCCACAAAAACATTCTTGTTTGTGGTTGATCCTTAGAGATCCAGTCAGATGTCGCCAAAGGGTGTTCTTTCCAGTAAAATTCTACGTCTGACAACCTGGGCCTCTCCCCAGCCTACATACGCTCAAAGTTTGACAAGATAAATAGAAATCTGCTGCCCAGCACTAGTTTGATCGGAATTGAAAGCTGATTTAATTATGTTAGGTTAGCCCTACCTAACCACTTATCACTAGCTTATAGAAAAACAGTTTTACTATTATGGTTTTAAGGAAGACCAATCTTTATTATAATTTTAATTTTCATACCTTAGAACAAAAGAGATGTCTGGGGCCAAATTAACATGTATTCTGACTACCTGGGAACTTTTTTTTGCCACATTCTTCACAATGCTCTTCATGAGGCTTCTTTTCAAATCATCAGGATGACTGGGTTGCCACTGTGGTCCTTGGATGGTTCACATCCATGATCTGTGATAATTTTTTCACATCAGTGACCACTCTTGATTTTAGTCTCTTGAACAACATGCTGCTTCTACTAGTGGGAATGTCTCTGGAATCTGAATTATCATGAAGGATAATATAGTATTCACTGAGGGCTTACTATACATCAAGCTCACTGAACTCCCACAAAACACTGTATAAAGTAGTTCCTGGTGTTCCCATATCACTGATGAGGAAAACTGAGACTTGGTCACATCCCCAGGGTCACAAGACTAGTAAGAAGGACTAGCAGCCAGGTCTTATATAAATTCAGAGGTTCCATTCTTTTTTGCTACTAGTTATCACTGCCTTTCGCACTCACAGTGTCTCTTTGCTTTGGCCTTTTAATTCCATTTGATTGAAGTAGCAAAGGAGAAAATATAAAGGAAAGGAGGAGGAGGGTTTGGGGAAGAGAGGATGAAGCATGAAGCTATCTTTAATTTTGACAATGTGGAAAACAAATACTTAAAAAGTAAAACTGATTCCCATCCTTTACTCACCATTATCATCTTACATAAAACTATGGAAATTCTCCTATTAACTATGGAACACTGCCTATTGTGTTCGAGTGGAAAGCTCCTCTGTCTGGGCTACCCAGGATTTATGACTGTGTGCTGTGCTGTGTGCTCACTTGTGTCCAGCTCTTTGCAACCCTGTGGACTGTAGCCCATCAGGCTCCTCTATCCATGGGATTTTTCCAGGCAAGAATACTGGAGTGGATTGCCATTTCCTCCTCCAAGGGGATCTTCCTGGCCCAGGGATGGAACCCAGTCTCCCTTGTCTCCTACATTATCAGGCAAATTCTTTACCACACTGCACCACTAGGGAAGCCCACCCAGGATTCAAAGGGGAGTTTAAATCATTCAATAACTATAGTTAACCCCTGTTTGGTTAAGAGAGTAAGTAATTATTGCCCCCCAAAATCCTCTTTTCTGCCTTCCACAAACAGCACCAAAATAGCTCTGAAGGGATTAACACAATACATCAACATCTGTGCTGTACCTGGAATTGTTAAAATAATAGTGATGACAGGTGTCTAGGCACCACTTTCTTAATAGTTTTCAATATCTATTGATTTATTTTCATGGCTTTCCCTCCCTCTTTTACATCCTTGGCTTTATGAAGGAGCCGAGGAACAGATTTTGCACTAAAGGCTGATTCTCTATTCCAATACTGAAAAGAACTAATAAAAATAATCACTTGGCTTTTAAGCAGAAAGCTTCCATTTACAGTATTTCACCCTTCCCCCCCTTCTAAGCCCCTTGTTATCTAACATAATGGTTAGAATACATTTCCGTCTCTCCCCTTAATAATTTCATGCATTAACATCCTCTTCACACACCACACACACACACACACACACACACACACACACACACACACACACACACACAGAGGCACGCACAGCAAAAGGAAAAAAGAGGCAGCAGAAATCTCAGCTGTACTTCTAGCCCTTTTAAAAAGTTTGCTCTGTAAATTGGAATGAGGTCAGATTTGGAGCTTCTCATTGCACGCGGAGATTATTATTGCATCGGGTTCCAAGCCAATGGGAAGCCCGGGGGAGGGGCTTGGCACGAGGAAGCGTTGGTTACAGCGGCTGATTGGCCGCGGCCAAGACTGGGAAAGGATAAAGAGGCGCGAGGCGGAATTGGGGTCCGCTCTAAGCTGCAGCAAGGGAAACCGTGTGTGAGAGGAAGAGGCCTGTTTCGCTCCGGGTCTCTAGTTCTTGCACGCTCTTTAAGAGTCTGCACTGGAGGAACTCTGCCATTACCAGCTCCCTTCTTGCAGGAGGGAGGGGAAAACATACATTTATTCATGCCAGTCTGTTGCATGAAGGCTTTCTGGCGTCCTACCTTGCAACAAAATAGTTGCACAAACTCCTTAGTGCCGATTCCGCCCACAGAGAGTCCTGGAGCCAGAGCCTTTTCTGCTTTGCATTGTAAGAGAGGGACTAACTGATAGAGACTATGTCCCTTTCCTGAGCTTCTGAGAGCGCTCACGAACTGGAATCAACTGCTTCAGGGGAAGGAAAAAAAAAAAAAGACTTGCCTGGGAGGCGGCGAGAAACTTGCATTGGAAGCTTCAGCAACCAGCATTCGAGAAACTCCTCTCCACTTTAGCACCGTCTCCAGGACGCAGAGCCGAGAGACAGCGCAAACTGCGGCGCGGTGAGAGAGAAGAGGGAGAGAGAAGGAGATTCTCCAGCCTGGGAACTATAACTCCTCTGCAAGAGGCGGAGTGCTCCCGCCTCGCATCTTTTTGGAGACTTTTCTCTCTTCGCCCACCTCCGCCCCGGCCAGGAGTTGAGCCGCCCGCTCGACTGCCGCGCACGTTCCCCCGCTCAGCGTGCGCTTGGTCCCGGGAGCCAGGAGGGCCCGGCGATCGCGCCGCGGCCGCCGCGAGGGTGTGAGCGCGCGTGGGCGCCCGCCGAGCCGGGGCCATGGTGCAGCAAACCAACAACGCCGAGAACACGGAAGCGCTGCTCGCCGGCGAGAGCTCGGACTCGGGCGCCGGCCTCGAGCTGGGCATCGCCTCCTCCCCCACGCCCGGCTCCACCGCCTCCACGGGCGGCAAGGCCGACGACCCGAGCTGGTGCAAGACGCCGAGTGGGCACATCAAGCGGCCCATGAACGCCTTCATGGTGTGGTCGCAGATCGAGCGGCGCAAGATCATGGAGCAGTCGCCCGACATGCACAACGCCGAGATCTCCAAGCGGCTGGGCAAACGCTGGAAGCTGCTCAAAGACAGCGACAAGATCCCTTTCATTCGGGAGGCGGAGCGGCTGCGCCTCAAGCACATGGCTGACTACCCCGACTACAAGTACCGGCCCAGGAAGAAGGTGAAGTCCGGCAACGCCAACTCCGGCTCCGCGGCCGCCGCCGCCTCCAAGCCCGGGGAGAAGGGCGACAAGGTCGGTGGCAGCGGCCACGGGGGCGGCGGCGGCGGGGGCGGCCACGCGGGGGGAGGAGGCGGCGGCGGCGCGAGCGGCGGCGGCGCCAACTCCAAACCCGCTCAGAAAAAGAGCTGCGGCTCCAAAGTGGCGGGCGGCGGGGTCGGCAAGCCCCACGCCAAGCTCATCCTGGCAGGCGGCGGCGGGAAGGCGGCGGCGGCGGCCGCCTCCTCCTCTTCCTCTTCGTCGTCGTCGTCCTCGTTCGCCGCCGAGCAGGCGGGGGCCGCCGCCCTGTTGCCCCTGGGCGCCGCCGCCGCGGCCGCCGACCACCACACGCTGTACAAGGCGCGGACTCCCGGCGCCTCGGCCTCGGCCTCCGCGGCGGCCTCGGCCTCGGCCGGCCTGGCGGCGCCGGGCAAACACCTGGCGGAGAAGAAGGTGAAGCGCGTCTACCTGTTCGGCGGCCTGGGCGCGTCGTCCTCGCCCGTCGGCGGCGTGGGCGCGGGCGCCGACCCCAGCGACCCCCTGGGCCTGTACGAGGAAGGGGGCGCCGGTTGCTCGCCCGACGGGCCGAGCCTGAGCGGCCGCAGCAGCACGCCGGCCGCCGGCCGCTCGCCCGCCGACCACCGTAGCTACGCCAGCCTGCGCGCCGCCTCGCCCGCCCCGTCCAGCGCGCCCTCGCACGCGTCCTCGTCGGCCTCCTCCTCCTCGTCGTCGTCGTCGTCCTCCTCGTCCTCGGGTTCGTCGTCCTCTGACGACGAGTTCGAGGACGACCTCCTCGACCTGAACCCCAGCTCAAACTTTGAGAGCATGTCCCTGGGCAGCTTCAGCTCATCGTCGGCGCTGGACCGGGATCTGGATTTTAACTTCGAACCCGGCTCCGGCTCACACTTCGAGTTCCCGGACTACTGCACGCCCGAGGTGAGCGAGATGATCTCGGGAGACTGGCTGGAGTCCAGCATCTCCAACCTGGTCTTCACCTACTGAAGGGCGCGCGGGCTGGGAGAGAGAGGGACGGGGCGGGTGGTGGGGTGGGGGGAGGACCAGAGAGGAAAATGAAAAAGGAGAAAAAAAAAAAAAGCGGACAGAGAAAAGAGTTGCAAGAGAAAAGGGAAAACAAGAGGGGAAAAAAAAAGAAAAAAGGAAAAGGAGGAAAAAAAAAAGTGAGGAGGGCCGGCTTCGGCCGCGTCCGGGTGGTCGGAGAGCAACGCCACGGCGTCTGGGGACCCGCGCTCCCAACCCCCATCTTGCCGGCTGGAGGGACGCGGCGGAGGCGGAGGTAGACAGGGGCGACCTTTTATTGTTGTTCTTGGTGTTGTTGATGGCGAAAAAAAGCGACTTCGAGTTTCCTCCCCATTGCTGGAAGAGACCCCCCACCACCACTACCAGCCCTTCCAACGAGCTTCCGGACTTGTCGGCGCCCCCGGCCAGAAGCCGAGTTGGTAGTTTGCTAGCGACTGAAGGAATCGTCTATTCCTGTCTCATCGCTCCCTCGGTGTTTTGGGGCTATTTTACTTGGTTTTTTGTTTTTTTGATCCCGAGGGGAGGGGGATTCCGACATGCCCCCGGAGGGGTTTTGTTCTCAGCATCCCCGCCCCCATCCACCCGCCCCTGCAGCCAGAGGAGGAGACGTTGAGTGACCGGCGCTCGGAAATGACCCGAGAACCTAGTTGGAAAGCCACACTAGCCAGGACGAGGGGCGGGGAGGAGAAGGCCACGAACTGGAAGGGGGGCGAGTAATAAAACTGAAATGGATTTGCACGTTCGGGAGAAGGTGGCGGCGTCTCCTGGGCCTCCGCCTCCTGCATCTCTGAAACCAGTGAGGTGAGACTTCACGGCCCCGCAGGCGCGGAGGAGAGGAGACTGTTTGATGTGGTACCCGGGGCAGTGGAGGGCGAGTGGTGTCGGGGGGGAAAAAAAAGGTTTTTTGCTTCTCTTAATCGGAATCGTGATGGTGTTGGATTATTTCACTGGTGGGGTTAATATAGCATGTTATCCTGTCTATCTTTTAAAGATTTCTGTATTAAGACTGTTGAGCAGTTTTTAAAATAGTGTAGGATAATATAAAAAGCAGATAGATGGCGCTATGTTTGATTCCTACGACAGAAATTATCACCAGCTTTTTTTCATTCTTAACTCTTTAAAGGATTCAAACGCAACTCAAATCTGTGCTGGACTTTAAAAAAAACCAATTCAGGACCAAATTTTTTCTCAGTGTGTATGTGTTTATTCCTTATAGGTGTAAATGAGAAGACGTGTTTTTTTCCCTCACCGATGCTCCATCCTCGTATTTTTTTTTTCCTTGTAAATGTAATCAGATGCCATTTTATATGTGGACGTATTTATACTGGCCAAACATGTTTTTTCTTATTTTGTCCCTTTTTTTTTAAAGTTCTTTTGCTTTGCTTTCTTTCTTTTTACGTCCTTATTTCCTCCTTCTTTACTTTATTTTTTCTTTCCTTTCTTTTCCTTTTTTTTTTTTTTTGGTAGTTGTTGTTACCCACGCCATTTTACGTCTCCTTCACTGAAGGGCTAGAGTTTTAACTTTTAATTTTTTATATTTAAATGTAGACTTTTGACACTTTTAAAAAACAAAAAAAGACAAGAGAGATGAAAACGTTTGATTATTTTCTCAGTGTATTTTTGTAAAAAATATATAAAGGGGGTGTTAATCGGTGTAAATCGCTGTTTGGATTTCCTGATTTTATAATAAGGCGGCTGGTTAATATCTCACACAGTTTTAAAAAATCAGCCCCTAATTTTCTCCATGTTTACACTTCAATCTGCAGGCTTCTTAAAGTGACAGTATCCCTTAACCTGCCACCAGTGTCCATCCTTCGACCTCAGCCCTATAAAAAGGAGGGGAGATTTAGCCAAACACTGTATGCTTTTAAGAAAAACGAGTTTTTTTAAACAAATACTGTTTTATGCAGAGGCTTTACAACTGGTGCATTTACAGCAAAAAGGGATCCTGTAGCTTTAACTTGTAAACCACATCTTTTTTGCACTTTTTTTATAAACAAAAACGTGCCGTTTAAACCACTGGATCTATCTAAATGCCGATTTGAGTTCGCGACACTATGTACTGCGTTTTTCATTCTTGTATTTGACTATTTAATCCTTTCTACTTGTCGCTAAATATAATTGTTTTAGTCTTATGGCATGATGATAGCATATGTGTTCAGGTTTATAGCTGTTGTGTTTAAAGATTGAAAAAAGTGGAAAACATCTTTGTACATTTAAGTCTGTATTATAATAAAGCAAAAAGATTGTGTGTATGTATGTTTAATATAACATGACAGGCACTAGGACGTCTGCCTTTTAAGGCAGTTCCGTTAAGGGTTTTTGTTTTTAAACTTTTTTTTGCCATCCATCCTGTGCAATATGCCGTGTAGAATATTTGTCTGAAAATTCAAGGCCACAAAAAATGTTTGGGGAAAAAAGAAAAAGAAAAAATCATGCCAGCTAATCATGTCAAGTTCACTGCCTGTCAGATTGTTGATATATACCTTCTGTAAATAACTTTTTTTGAGAAGGAAATAAAATCAGCTGGAACTGAACCCTAAATCTTGACTTTTGTCATTATTATGCCCAAAGCCTAAGATTGGAAGGGCACTAGAGCTTGTAGAAACGGTGACACCATCTGCCCTAGCTTTGAAACAAGTGAGTTCTCAGGCCTATTACATGCCATCTAATTGAGGAATAAATCCTCCTAAATTCCATCTCACTTAGATTGGGCAGGCACTAACCCTGAAACCATGGGTCAGCTCTACATGCTTTCAAGGAATTTTCTGAGTTTACCCCCATTTAAATCAACACCCCTTGTCTTGAAATTTTAACAAGGAGGGGAGGGGTAATGACAGAATTCTTTACAGATAAAACCAGGTCCTAAAACCGCTTACTCCTGGATTTGCCTAGATTTACCATCCAGCAACAGCTAGAATTGTTTCTCATGGAATAGGAGCAAAAATGTTGTTAAATTATCAATATATTGTGAAAGGCATTACCTGTTAAGAGAGAAAAAGTTTTATCAATTTTTTTCCTCGAAAGCAAGAAGCTTCATGTGGTGACAAAATCTTTCTGTGCCATGACCAATGTGGTTATTCCTGTCAGTGAAGAAGAAAAAGTACCTTGAATTTCCTAAGGCCTATTAGTATTTGGTTTGGAGCCTGCAGTTTGCTAAGAGGCACTATTTCCTGTTTACTTTGAGGGTTAACAATTGCTATTAACTAACAAAGCCCATCTTCCCTTCCAAGTGTTTAAAATATCTGCTTTATATGTCTTCTGGTTTTTCAGCACTGGAGAGGAGGGGTTAATAAGACCTATGTGGAAATAACTAAATCATCAAGATTACTTGTAGGAAAGGAAATCTCCATCCTAGAATGTACAGGTGGATGAAGAGATTTTTGGAGACCAAGACAAGCAATTTTTTCTGGTCAGTGAAAAGCAATAATTCCACCCTCCAAAATAATTTAACTATTGCATTTCAGTGTAATTTCATCATTCAAAGATCATTTTAACTACTAGAGTCCAAATTTTTCTTACATGTATTCACTAATATATTTAGTTTTAATTGCACTTGTGTTCTGTAATTATGTTGTTTTTTTTTATTAAGTTAAAAAACCAACTTCGTATCTTTTATTCTCTTCAAAGACTTTTGCCTTTTCAAAGACTCTTCTAATTGCTTTTTGTTCACGGTACTGATAATGACTTTAATTTTTTCAGATCCAAAATATGAAAATCTTGACATAAATGAAGACTGTGATATTTTTAAGTATATTTTATTTCATAGGGTTCTCCTGCTAGAAATGTATTTATTGCCCCTTGACTTTCCATGTAAGGGCAGATACTTTAACTGTTTTCTTTAAGAATTTTGATAACATTGCTTTAAAAAGGAAAGCTTAAAACGTGTGATCTTCCTAGAAGGTGATAGAGTAAATGTAGGAGACATTTTTGTACTTCCTTTCCTCTGAATCAGTCTTTATTCATAAGGAACACATGTATTAGGTGGTAGAAAGGAATAATAAATCTGATAAACCAGACAGTTTAGGATGACTTTAACTTTCAGATAATTTGGATCAATAGAAGAAAATAAATTTCAGATTTTAAGAATAAAAGCCATTTTTATATAAAAATACACTGTTCTGGCCCTGGGCTTGATTAGAAATATGAATTAGTAAAAGTTGATAAGTAGATTTTTTCAGTTCTAGTTGATTAACCTGTAAGTGCCAAGAAAAAAAAAAATGGAAGCTGGTAGGGTGGGCTGAGTGCCTAAATTTTGTGCTCCTATTTGGGGTGGTGGGGACTGGAGGTATTAAGGATTTCCAAGGAAAATGGGAAAGCAAAGGACTGGAAGTGGACAGACACATTTACCAAGTCTTCCCTGGGTTTATGGGGTGTCCATGAGTAAGAACACCTGGTTTGGATAATGAATACTAGGGTTCCAGAATATTTAATCATAAATTTAAAATAATTTATTTTAAAGGAGCATTGGGATAGATCCAAATGTCAAGAAAACACTTAAGAATTCTGGTAGGAATACAAATCCATCTTACCCGTTAGGATTTCTCAGGGCGGAAGCTTGGTAGGCTTTGTTTTTCTTTGTAGTTATTCGTTTTAAGCCTTTTATTTTTTTCCTCCTCTGAGTCCTGTACTGCGGTGCCTCTCTCACCCATATTTGCTAATGTTCACCCTACCCCTCTGGGCTTCCCTGGTGCCTCAGCTGGTAAAGAATCTGCCCACAGTGCAGGAGACCTGGGTTTGATTCCTGGGTTGGGAAGATCCCCTGGAGAAGGGAACAGCTACCCAATCAATCCAGTTGTTTCGCCTGGAAAATTCCATGGACTGTATAGTCCATGGGGTCGCAAAGAGTTCAATTCTGGAAAATTATCTCCCTATCCATTTTCAGATCTTCACTCAGTATTGTTTGAAAACCAAAGGAGATGGGGAGAAGCCATTCCAGGCACCAGGGTGGTGGTCAGACTCTGCTCAAAAAAAAACTGCTAGGGATAAAGCATAGAATTCACAGGCTCCATCCAAAGCCCTGCACAGAATGATTTTAGCCCACCTTTCCAGTTCTCCAAAAAGAATTCCCATTCAGTTGTCTCCTTTTTAAACTGAAATTGTTGGAGGACAGGAAGCATGCTATTAACATGTAGTTTCCCCAACTTGACTGTTTCACTGCATATAATAAATATTTGATTGTTATTTGTTGATTTTACATATACATTGTTTCAGTGGGGCTTTAAGAGCTTCCAAAATGTCTTTGCATGTCAGGCTGTATGATGGCAGCTGTGGTGAGGAGTCTTGGATTTATTGAAAGCCTGGGTTACAATGCTGCCTCTTACACCATCCAACTGTGAAGGCTGTTGGTCATATCTCAGCCTCCTTAAACCTCAGTGTTCTAAACTGTTAAATAGGCAGAATACTGTGTGGACATAAAAAGCCGTTGTGAGAATCTAGTGGAGTGATACATGGAACATACCTGCCATCAGGCCTGGCCTCTGGATGGGCTCATTAAGTGCTAGTTCCTTACCTCGTGGGTTGTTCTAAAAAGATAATGCATGTCTAAGCCTAACTCAGTGCAAGCAAATACAGAAGGTACCAAGTTCTTAAAAAGAAATCCCTGGAATCAGTATATCTCCCGATCTGGTACATGGATGCTCACATCACAGAATCACCCCAGGATTCTAGCTAAGGGCAGAGATTATGAAGATTATCAGATTCTGGGGGTGGAACCCTAATAAACTCCAAGATAGCAGGCTCAGTATCTGGAATGCAGTATGTGTTCTCTGAGGATGCAAAGCAATTTTGTGTATCGGTGCACAAATGAGTTACAATTTGGACCTTAACAGATCTTCAGGGTAAAGGAAGGCTTTCACATAAAGCTGGAGGATCTCGGCCTCCATGGTCGTTTAGCGTATTTTTCTAATAAATATTCATGCCTTTTGCTCAGTGGAGAAAGGGAATTGAGAGTGACTCAATGGGGCCACAAGGTCAGAAGTGAGAGAAACCAGCCCTGGAACCCCCTTTCTTGAGCCCTGCTTCCGATTTCCAGAAATAGGTGTCTTGTCTACTTCAACCAGAGAGACTTAATCAGGCCTCGGGCCATAGACGAGGACTCAGGGCCCTCAGACTTGCTTCCTTGCAAGGAAGGGACATCCATGTCCCAAGGATGCTCTCCAACCTCCCTAGTTGAGAGGGTAAGTGTAAGTGATTAGCTGTGCATATGTATCTATTTAATATATTTCATTTCAGTGAATGTTAACTAAGATCAAAGGTCAACTCGGGCTGAGTTTTGGAAGAAGGAACTGAGGCAGAATAGAATCAGAACCGTATGAACATGGTGAGTGGAGCTTCTGCTTTGTTATCTAAAAGGGAGATCATTGGAAATTATTCAGGGGAGTGTACTCAGACTTTATAGAGAGGGCCACAACCTACCCATTATATCCTAATGAGATTGACCGTTGACTACAGTTAACTTGAAGGGTTTTATGGTTTCCTGCATGTGTTGTTTTTCTTCTCAATGTTAAAAAGAAGAAGATTTAAAAAAAAAAAAAAAAAAAAAAACCTCCCATCACCAAACGGTATTTCCCAGAGGGCTCTTGGACGAGACTGCTGCATTTTGGTCTCTGTCTTAGTTAACAATGCACCTTCATGTATGTGTGTGTCTGTGGATCCAGGTGATAATAAATTTAGCCCATTTTATTTTCTTCTGACAGGTTCAATTCAGGGCAGTTGGTTTATGGAGTACTGCCAAACAGTCCAGGCCCAAGTCAAGTCAGGGCAGGAAGCTTCAAGTGAAAGCCTTCCTTTACCCTGCAGATTTGTTCTTTTAAGGTCCAAGTTGTAACTCATTTGTGCCTTGGTACACAAAATTGCTTTGCATCCTCGGAGAACACATATCGCATTCAAATGATATTCCATTTGAAATTGTTTTAAGCGTAGGACATAAGAGAACAAACAAATACCATATTTATCATCATTTAGCCTGCTTGGTACTTTAGATATTTCCCCCAATATCTAATTCTTTGGATGAGTTATAAGACAACTAATGAATGTGCTATTTCCTTTCACAACATACAGCTGAAAGACAGGAGGCAAATGAAAACACTGAACATTATCTTTAGTAGGCTCTCAGCAGAAGTGAATGCCCAGCAGCGCGGCAAGATGATTGGAGTGTATGGTGCATGTAACTGCTTTTATAAAAGCTGAGCAGCCAGGCCCTGTTTAACGATCAATTAGCTCCCGTTGTATGTGTGGTTAATTGCCACTTTCTTACCAGGGCTTGTCCTAACTTCCCTGGCTCCAACACCTAAAACCTGTGAAAATAGTCTCTTCTGGAACTCCTGACCTTCAGTCTTGGCCTCTGCTTTCTCCCTCCCCTTTCCCACACTCCCCGTGCTGGCCTTTTATCTCTCTTGTTTGCCAATCCCCTGAGACTCTGAATAATTTATTTGAAGTTCCTGGGAAGTTGTGGGGGCTGCAGTCTCAAAACACATTGCACTTTGTTCCTCTTCCTGCAGAAGTAGGTCCTGAAGCCTTTGTTTGAAAGAGGTGGTGCTAAG